AGTGAGTTACAGTCTAAATATATTAAATAGACACTCTCTTGATTGGGATCATAGTGTTCACCCATATATCTATTATTTGCTTTAGCGTAACGTGTGGAAATCATACTGACTCCTCCTCTAATCGCACTTTCTATGAACAAATGCATGTCAATATCTTGAAATAATTGTAATTTGATACCAGTCATTCTAAGACAGGCCTCCCATGTTAATCCAGGAAGTGAATACATATGTACGGGGTCCAGTTTGTAATCCTTTAAACACAGGTCTCTAAATGTCTCAAACACATCAGCCAGTAGCAATACGTCTGTTTTAAGATATAAATCATGATATTCTTGTAAATTATTTATATTAAAATGGGTCCAGACATTTTTAGCATGTTCGTATTCGTTGGAAGAGATATGTTCTTTAGTTAGAGTACTGTAAAATGCTTCTTTTGGGGGTAGAGACTCTGCGAACTTATCTGGTCCCGTCATATATTCATAGGGATATACACCTTTACGTTGTAGTAGTGGATTGTCTATAAATTTAAATGTATTTAAATTGGAAGCTAATTTGTATAATAGAAGGGACAAAAAGTTATAGGAATCTAAAAATACTAAATCATCAATAGAGAATGAAATGTACTTTTCCATATCCTTGGCTATGCAATTTAATTTACGATCTAACTTTGCATATTTTCCCAAGTGTTGCATTATTAAATGACCATCATAATTTTTCAAGTTATGGAAGAATACTGGGATTTTCTTTGTTACTTTATAGTTTAAATTGCAATCATTGTGGGCAGCTCCACGGTATTGGCCAGATGAATGACAATGATCTCTCACCCTATCAAAATATAGATTCTTTTCACAAATATGACAATGTGTTGAGTTTTGGAAAGATGCCTCTTGCTCTGGAGTCATTTGAAGAGGATTATATATTGCCATTTGATTTTTAATATAATCATAAGTCTGAAATAATCTTTCAAAAAACACATCCATAACATTTGTACCACTATATAACTCTTCAGAAATAATTTTTGAATCTTTTACTACGACAAATGCAAATCCCGATGGAGTATGTATATTAGAGTTTATAAAGCACTCAAAATCTGCATAAATCACAAATGGGGCTTTAAGTTGATATTTATAATTTTTAAATTGTAATGTATCTTGTTTAGACATTTCCACTCGTTGGGCATCAAAGTTTTTACAATACGTTGTGTGACGTTCTAATATATCATTAGTGTAAAAATGTTGCAAACACAACTTACAAAAATGCTTCTTATGGTCATCTTTGGTTGAGTGGAACATTAACTTATCAAAATCACGAATTAAACAGTAATGTGATTTACGACCTTCTTGTAATAACAATAGATCTACATGAATATTACTATTTAGTTTGGTTGTTCTTAATGGATATATAAATTTATCATATTTAACCCCAAATACATTAATACTTATATCATTCTGTGTTTCAAATTTATCTATATCAAATATTTTCACAGGATACTTTATGTTTGTCATATTCAACTGACTTTCATAGGGTACATAATTAGAAACCCTTTCAGCATGTTCATTAGAGTTCCTTGGATGTAAAGCTGCTAAAATCGACCAAAGGAAGCATTTATTGTCAGCATTTTTAATATTTAAAACTGCATGTTTTGATTGAATAGTTTTTGGTGTAGGGATATATGACTTTGGAGTTAGGGGCTTATACTTGTAAACATGCAGCTGCCAATATTTAGTATGGTCATATATCCATCCACTGCCTTGGGCTTGATATTTATGTATGGAAGTGTCAATCTTTAAAAGTGCATTTTCAATTTGAGGCTTTAAATCTCTCTTCTCAATAGTTAAGGTAGTAAGGCTTCTAAAATCTGCAATACATTCTTTTTCATTAACTAATTGCCCATTTTGATCCATTGAATATTTTATAAACTTGATTCTCCTTACTAGAGTCCATTTTATCGGCAGAGGACAAGACTGAAGAGTATTTTTAAGGTCAGCTCTAATCGATTCACCGACAAATTTAATCATTGTATATGGACATTTGATGCAAGAATTGGTGTGTCTTTTAAAATGTCCAACAACATTCATTTTACAGAAATTACAAGTCTTATGATTTTGTAATATATGTGATTTTAAAGCCACATTATTATCACAGATTAAATTGCAAACCTTGCACAGTTTCACCTTCATTTGATGAATTACCTTGTAGTGGCGAATCAGGTTACTTTTGGTAGAGAGCAACATGGAGCAGTGTTGACAGGTGGGCCTCATGGTCCAGAATGAAATATCACCCGAATGTCACTTCTATTTATAGAATTTTCGAAAATTTCCAAATTTTTAAAATTTAAAAATTGAGATTAGAAATTAAAAATTACTTCAACAGGAGGTCACCCACCCAGGACTAGACCACTAGAGACGAGAAGCCTGACCGTAGGTCGGGAGCACGACCAGGAGCGCGCTGTGAGCCGGGAGCGCGCCCGAGTTCGCTTACAAACCTCGCACTGTCAAGTTGATGATTTTGAGAATATACTTGTGAATGCATGTGGATTTGAAATAGTAATGAAGTTATACAATGGTATTGAACATTTATATTGGGGTGTACAGGCGAAGATCAGGATTTTTGGATTTGGTGGCTAAAAAATGATCCCCATAAGAATAACATGGGAAAAACGTGCCTAAAGTGGGGTCATACCGGTAGTTCACCACTACTAGGATTTGATCAAGATTTTACTGTCCCGTTTTGCACGGTTATTCCCAATATGTAATAAAATGAATAAATAACTGTGAATGCATTTAGTATCACATACTGGGTGTCAATAATGTGGTAGCTATTCACGTACGCAATTAATTTATTGTAGGTACCTTATAAATGAACCTCAATGTATTATGTATTTTACAATAGCTTCTTTAATTTCCAATATATAAGCAACAAGTTAAAACTTGCGTTTACCGTTTCTTAGCTGTACTGAAAACATTTTACAACACATACATTACAATAATTGCCCATTCATTTTTTTGCATAGCTGTTAATCAGCAAGAATTTCTGATTTGGTAATAAGTTCCTTGTATCAGACCAATATTTCTCATAGCCCTGATTAACAAATCATACCTTTCACTAAAATGAGAAAAAGTCTAATCTTATTCAGATAAAGAAACAAATGCCAAATATATTATGAAAAGTTCCATTGCCAATGATATAATTTTGTATTAAAACTTTAACTTAAATTACAAATCATACCTAAAACCAGAGTTATGAATTACACATTTTTGCTTACAATAATTTTTGACAAAACTGCCATGCAGTTTTTTCTTACGATTTTCAATGTTTACTTGTTTTTCCTACTTAGAGTAATTTTGTCCATACAGCTATGCTTACTACGCTATTGTTTTTTTTTATTATTGTGGACGATTCCTATCATAATCCGTAAATACCCCCGCCGCAGCAAACCTGCAGACTAAGCGAATTTCCGTTTGCCTGATTGGATTTGCACCAAAATGTCTCCTTAAAAATATCACATTTATTCCCTATTTAAATGACATTAGTTAAACGAGTACGTAGGTTTGCTGCACCAGGGAGGTTAAAAAGGTGTTTCTTTTTGTAAAATGTTAATAGTTTAGTATAAAATGAATGCATTTTCCAAATTTGATCAAAATATGAACATAAACAAGCAAACTACAACAGTTTACTTATTCTCCATAAAAATAACATGGGAATTTTTAATTTACGGTTTTTTTTCTCCGTAACCATTAGGCGCATAATAACGCTTGAATATACTAAATTATTTGTTTTTTAAGCTCTACAAAATGGTTTGGAAAGAAAATGCTAAATTTTATGTTTTTAGGGTCAAAAATAGGAAAAACCAATTTTTGTCCCATAAAACCCCTTATAAACCCCTGTTCCCATAGTCCGATCATGCTGGTTCGCAAACTCGTTCGAATAAATGTAGGTTTACACGTTTGTACCAAATTTCATCAAAATCGGAACATTTTTGCTTGAGTTATTGCGCTAACGGACACATATATAAATATATATATATATATATATATATATATATATATATATATATATATATATATATGAATTTGAACGGATAGTGTTTTTGGTCTCTAGGGACCTCAAAACGAAAAAGTAAATCGGTCCCGGGTCCAGGTCTTACCATGAGTACTACGGTAATAGCTTATTCCCTATATGGGAAATTCGCTAATAAAAACACAGTACTCACGACGTTTGAGCGAATATAATTAGCAGCAAACCTAAGCACTCGTTAAATATAATGCTATTTAAATTGGGAATAAATATGTCTTATTTATGGAGCTATTAGAGTAAAAATGTAATCAGACAAGTGGAAATTCGCTTGGTCTGCAGGTTTGCTGCGGTGGGGGCATTTAGGATTTCAAATCTTATCCCGTTCTCAGATGAGGAAGTACTTAAAACATAACAAGAATATCAGCCAATACAACAGAATCTCAAAAATACCTTTTAAAAGCCACACGCAGATTAGTACAGTAGTCAAACACAAAAAGCCGTTTAGCGAAACTAACTATATAATAACATAAAATGTAAGAAATAGCAATTTAATTTTGGTAGACGTAAAACAGTAGTAGTATATTGGTTTGTAAGTCATTAAGTATTAAAGGAAGAATACATATAACAAATCAAATTAGGAAAACACCAATGTACAAGACCACTTTGATCAATTCGCTTTTTCTTAATCACGATGAAAAACGTCTGCAACATGACCTTAAATAACATTAAGTCATGATCACTAAATATTTGCATAAAACACTAGGTACACTAACGGATAAATCGATTTTGAAAACCAAATTTTACTCAATAATGGTTATTTACCATTTAAAAGTGTTTTAATCATAGCATGTCGACATAAATACATAATTGACCTAAACAAGATGAATTACAAACTAAGATTAACTGAAAATTCGAATAGTGTACCGCATATCATGAATGGCTATAGCTTAAGGAGCTGTTTGTTACTGGTTTTGACATTACAGCCCATCGGCCGTGCTGGCATATGGAGTTCACTTGTAACAACGGCAAATGCATCAGACCCATGTCACTGTGCGACGGCAGAAACGATTGTCTTGATGGTTCCGACGAGGATGATTGTACTCCAGGTAAGCAGTAACAGTTAAAATTAGTTAAAAATACAGTTGAAGTACAGTTTATAAATGAACGGCATCAGCAATCTGACACATACATTCTCCCATTAGCTTGTCCGCAACCCTTTTCATGGAGTGGTATGAGTAAAAATTGTATTTTGTGGGGAAATTATAAAAGCTGCAAAAACTGTTGAATGTACCGTTATTTTATCCTCATTTAAAATCAAAATTTGTAAACAAAACGTCAGGAGTTACCATAGACTACTACCATACCATCCACATACCAAAAATCATGAAAATCGGATATTTCTACCTGAAAATCAATGTCGAAAATGTTGACGAAAACAATGGGTTACTTTCCAAATGTTACTCGTATTACATTGTAGGATAAAGAATTTTAGTCAGCCTCTCTGGATCTTTGAAAGTTAACTACAAATAAATCAAAAGCTAGGGGAGTGAGTTTTAAATGAAACTACATTGTTGCAGCAAACGAATGATTTACGAATGAATTATGAATAAACTATGAATTATTAATTATGAATGAATTATGAATGAACGAATGAATTACCTATTCATTCGTTCTTTCACTAGATCAAAGACTTAAAAATGACACCTTACGTAAGAATCAGTTTAGTAGGACAGGTGAAAAGGGATGCTACAGGGAAAACCCCTATTGCATCTAAATACTATACAGGGTGAATAAAAAGTCAAGACCCCCCCTCTAATATTTTTCCAAGTAAATATACAGAGATATCCTTTTGGGAGTCGTGCAATCTTAGCAGGAAGCTTCATTTTATGATTTTGAAATTTTTGAGTGTCCCCCCAAAAGGGGGGGATTTTGGGGGCAACTCAAATATTTTAAACATAAACCCCCTTCAAGTGTCACCTCATTTTGAAGTGTTTACAAAAATTTAAAGAATGGTGAAAACTAGAGGTCGTTATCTCTTCTCTATCCAAAATAGTAGCCCGTCAAATGTTGTGGAAAATCAATGGTAATGTTGGTTCGTAATGGTAATATTTGCTACCATTTTGGATAGAGAAGAGATAGCGAACTTAGGTATTCACCATTCCTTAAGTTTTTGTAAGCAGTTCAAAATGAGGTGTCACTTGATGGGGGTTTACATTAAAAAGTTTTTGGGGGGACAGTCAAATATTTTCAATATAAACTCATGGGAGTTTACATTTAAAATTTTTGACTGTCCCCCCAAAAGGGGGGATTTGGGGGGCAAAACAAAGTGTCACTAAATGGTTAGTGACACTTTGTTTTGAAGTGTTTACAAAAACTTAAAGAATGGTGAAAACCAGAGTTCGCTATCTCTTCTCTAGCCAAAATGGTAGCCAATATTACCATTACGAACCAATTTTACCATTGATTTTCCACAACATTTGACGGTTACTATTAAAATATTTGAGTTGCCCCCCAAATCCTCCCTTTTGGGGGGACAATCCAAAATTTCAAAATCATAAAATGACACTTCCTGCTAAGATTGCACGACCACCAAATGGATATCTCTGTATATTTACTTGGAAAAATATTAGATGGGGGGGGGGTCTTGACTTTTTATTCACCCTGTATACGAATTTATCCTCAGTATAATTTATAGGTATGGATAGAATAGATAGAGTAGATTACTTTTGAAAGTTATCATCCTATATATTAATAGTCAAGCATGTTTTTGAACAATTTTTTTCTCAAATCGTGTGCATCGTAGGGAAAATCTTAACCTTCTGTTAGAAAGTTATTTTCCTGTACATGTGCAGAATCCCTTTATAAATTTAAATAGGCTCTAAAATAAACACAATTATTATTATTTTTTATTATATGGTCCTTATGTGTCCACGGTGATGACATATGAACGAAAAGTTCAAACAAACGGAAGAAATTCCAATCACATTTTTTATTTACAGCTTGTGGTGAAAATAGAGAAGTCTGTACATTACATATTCTTGGTCGAGTTTTATACCACTGACGACCTCTAGTTAATTTGATTATTCACATTAAATATATAAAATTAAATGTATTGTCATTCCAAGTAAAGTAATAATATAAAACTGACCGTAGTCAATGAATACCAACTACCCCTGATTGTGTGAAGTAGTGCTACAATTTCATTGATTGTAATCATCGTCCTGTAATCTAGCTAGGTTACGAATTGTGGATATTTATAGGCATGCACTGTGGATGCGATACTCCCTGGTGTAGTCTCCTGGTGTGGTTTAACGTCCGCACGAGTGAGTACTACGACTATCCGCAGTACTATCCTGATAATTAGACCAATTCGTATATACCAAGGCAAAAATGTGGTTCTGATTGTACTATAAACTGTAGGTTCCTTAGTTTCCAATAGCTGTATGGGCTATTAATTAACAGTTGTGTCTAAGGAATAAGTCGGCCTACTAACAAGACTACAAAATCGCGCCACTCACCCTACACTCATCTCCATTCATACTTGGCTTAAAATACCTTCGTTGTATGGTCACCATTTCATTAAAAAGTATAAAAGTATAAAGTATTGGTAATGCACTGGTAATTTTTCACCGGCTATCAACACGTCAGATTTCTTGTTCAAACTTCTGTTTACAAAACCTTAAGTAGTTTTGTTGACTTAGGCATATTAGGGACCATAGTTGTGTTGAGTTGTGACAACTATTATTGCGTTTTGTTAATTTGGATTTTGATTCTCAATACCATGGTTTTAAGAGGCTTACATTTTATTGACTGCAATATTCTTTTGTTAATGAATATCTAAAATCAACATACCATAAGTCAATAATAACAAAAAGTTTCTTGAGACTTTAAAAATGCCAAATCATGCATTTAATTGTTTATACGTCAAAACTACACTCTCACATTAACTAAAATCTTCAAATCTATTCGTGTGAAATATAACAATTTTAGGCAGCTCTTTGGTTTGGTTATAGTTTGCAATTTGATTCTTAAATATTTTCTTAGCTATGACTAAATTATTCGCGCATGAATATTTTTATTACAAAGTCTTCTGAGGACCAAAAGAAGTTTACTGTTTGGTAAAAGCTAGCAAAACATTAACCAGTTTTGGAATAAGTAATAAAAGAATAATAATTTACGCAATAAGTTTAGTTTGGTTCTTATTATTTCTCAGTTGATCTAAAATATGTGTGGTTATGTTTTAGTTGGTATTATTAGAAATTAGCAAAAATATTATCAACATTGTTCAAATTTGTGCTTACCTAAATTATATAAATTTGATCGCGTGTTAAAAAACCTATCATGTATTTATTTATAAATAAATTACATCAACTACTAATACTATACTAAGGATTGCAATGACAAGGCCCTATATAATATTTAATTTCAAATATGTATTAACCTCAAACAGTAATAAAGTTAATACTTCAATTTAAGTATTATGTAACGGTAAGGGATTGAATGGCAATAAGTTCCCTCAATAATCAATATTTTAAGACCGTTTTAACAAATTAAGTACAATTTTACCAACACAATATCAAACAACTCATTTGATCCGGTGATACATTCTCGTAAGTAAAATTAAATAATATAGCCTATTATTTATCATCATTTGAGTTATGATGTCTACTTAAGTACCCATTAATTCGGAGTCGGTCACAATTATGGCATGAATGTTGTTGTTGGTTATATTGAATTATGTTGGTTTATCCTACAGCGTAATAAACTATCTTTATTGCTTAGTTCCAAACAACAATGTACAGGACATCCTATTGTTTCAGTTGCCACTTTAGTAATTTAACTACGTAGCTATTATCCAACATTGTCCTGTGTTTTGCCAAACATTCAAGATTTGTTAGTAATACCAAATATATATTATGTTAGTTACATATCAGTTCAATGCGTATCAGTTTTATACTTAAATAACAAGTGCATACCATGGGCTACTTCAGTTAGATCCCGACATATTTAACGTAGATTGTTGGTTACATAGCACCATTAATTGATAGATTTATATCATTAGAGCGCACGATCCAGCTTGTTTGGAATCGAATAATGATTAGAAAGATCTAAAGATAAACGCAAAAACAACTCGGCAAGTACCTAAACCGTTACAATTTTTTTAATAAGAAAATTATCCAATAAAATTTTTAACAAATTATAAGACAGTGAATAGTAAAGATTAAATTTACCATAAACGTTACAAGCATTTCATATTCCAGACATTTCATGTTAAATTAATTTACATCTTTTAAAATGTACTACCATTGAAACTATATATTGATAACGTGCCTATTAAGATACTGAAACGTTTTCACTATTGCCAGTTTTGTAAATAGACAATAAAACCAGTAAGAAACTTTGAGTGAATAATGAAGATTATTTCCTACAGAATAAACACAGTGAAACAATGATAAATACAATGAAACAATACATGAGGATGAAGAGAAATATAACTTTTTAGTTACAAGCTAACGTGAAATAGTAATCTCAGTCCAGCATTTTGTATAAACATGGTTTTTCACCTAATGGTGATTCTACGACGGTATTTGTGAACAAAGACAATTTCCAGAATAAAATATTATTTATATAATCTAAGGGTGTCCCAAAAAAAACAGGGGCAATTTTAAAATGTTATTACTCAGCTGTTATAAAGGCTGGAGAGTTTATTGATGCGTTAAATAAATCTTTATTTGAAGCCATTTAGTGTATAATTACTATGGATCATCAACGGCGGCCGCAACTTCGTGCCTTTGTCCTAGAGACTTTTTTTAAGAATATTTGTCTATCACTTCTACTCAACGCCAATTTCGTGTTCGTTTCAACGTTGGCCGTAATGGTGCAACCCCACACCGAAAAACTAATCAACGATGGGTAAGCAATTTCCTGAACACGGCTTCTGCACTCAAAATCAAACCTAGTGGGAGACCTCAAACTGATCGAACGCCGGAAAACATTGCAAATGGTTCGCGTGAGTGTGCTGCGTGTCTTAAATAGCGTCGAGCGTCCTAAGTCATCCGTTTGCAGAACATTGCGTTTAAATTTAAATTTTCATAGGTTTAATTTT